GGACGCTACTAGGGGCTCCTGGCCTTACTACCAGGAACAAGAAGCTAGTAGGAGCAAAGGGCCACTTTGGCACCCGAAGGACAGGCCAGAGCAACATGTTTGGGCAACTCGACATCAAAAGTCCACACATGGTCACCTAAGAGTCACCTACGTCCCATTGAATTAAAGCACATTTGAAATTTGCGTAAGCATCCAGAGTATTGAATTGATGCGCCTCGGCTGCATCTTTTTCTTTTAAAATACCAAACAAAGTTTATAGGTCCATCTATGGACCAAACCAATCAACAAAAAAAGCAACATTAAACAACAAACACATCAAAACCAATGAAGGGTTGCAAAACCTTATTGATTTTGTTCCGAAGTTGCAGATTTGTTTAGTCTGCGGATGAACTTGAAAACCGCACTGTTTCTTTTTGGGTTCCCCTCGCGATGTTTTTCCGGGCCCTCAATGGTCTGGTCTTGGTTTGTCCTCTTTAACCTCAGGCTGCCTATAAGCAAATGCATGCGCTTATAAGAACCTGGTAGAAACACGTAGAACCCACGAACCCACATGCACACATGTATGTTTAACACTCTCGCGTCTCGCGTGGCATTCGTTGACACTCTTCTACAATCTCTCATTGGACAGTGTTGTGGGACACCCTTCTGGGACACTCTTGTAAACCACTCTTGTACAACAGTCTTGTAGGACAGTCTTGTGACGCAAATGACATACACAATCTCCTTCCTGCTGGTTGGCGGGCTTATCGGCTTATCACCTCACGGGGAAAATCTGAATGGAGTCACCGTTACCGTTATATCAGACTCACCAAAGCACATGCGCCCATCAGGAAACTGCGCTATGCCCCGCTTTCTTTTGTACAGCGAAGCCGAATGATGCAGAGCGCTGGTATCTGGTATTTCGTTGCTGTTTTGGGAACCAACATGTTGTCCCTTACTTCTCAGCAGGCAGAGGCACATTGTTGTTGTTTTGTGTTTATCGAGTTTCAGAGTTTGAGATTCCGCGCATGCCGCGCGCAGTGCCTGTCAAGATTTACTGGGCCATGAAGGGCAATAGAAAGGGTGCTGGAAGGCGATACTTTGCAGGATCATATGATGGGTTGATTCTTTAAAGAAATTTTGGCAGGCACAGTACTTTTGCAGAAGCAATGCAAATCTTGTGGCACTGTAGGGAATTGCCAAGCGCTCTGAGTCAAACCATGTAACTGAATCTGGATTCAACATGATTCAACACCATGAAATGTATGCAGCATTGAGAAATTGCCATATGTTTGCATACATGTTGTCAACATAATTGGATGATGTGAGAAAGGAATAAACTTGAGAATAGAATAGACTCTTACAAGGATAATTGAGCTTTTGCACACATTATCATTATGAACTTTAGGAATGAGGAGCCTTGATATAAAGAATGGTGTAATTGTACAAGAGAGATCTTGCCTGTTTATACTAAACAATATATCATCTGTCGTCTCATCTTGTACTGCAGAAAGGTGGGTGTTATTACTTACATACGTATCATATACTAATATGTTTTTTTTTCAGTCCTGGGCTTCCAATCAACTAAGGACTTTCCAGGGCGACCAGCTTTTGATAATGCCATCATCCTGTCGAGCTGCTCCAACTTTGTGTCTGGCTCCTGCACAATGAAACTCAGCAGTTGCACAAGTTTGCAGAGTGGCCAACAAACTGCAAACAAATGGAACGGTTGAGCGGATCAAAGGTGAGGGGCAAAGACCGCTGGGTGAGTTTGGTTGGGTGCGTGGACCTCCAGCTTGCTCTACTGGCGCACGCATCGAGCCCGGCTTGTTTTGCAACAACGTTGAATGTTTGGTCTAAACTCTAAACTGTGCAATTATCTCTCTGCATCCTGCTGCAGAAATGCTCCGTTCAGCTCTAATTCTCACATGTGCTAAAGCGGCACATGCTCCAGTATGTGCGTCTGCACGCATGTGCGCGGTGGGTTGCGCGCAAGCGGCTCGCAGCTCGACGTTGGCGGATACTCTTGTACTGAGCAATCTCGTCGTTGTATCCAGTCATCTCATCTATTCCACAACACACACACACATATATTCGCTATTCTCCAACAGTGTTGTTCACTTCTTGTCATGAGGGAGATGTCAACTGTGTGCTGGGAATTTCAGGGTCCTCCTCAAGTTTCACCTCTTTCACAGACTGCTCGGAGTCGCTCCCACACTGGAATTCCCGCAGCACAAACAAATTGTCAGGCCTCCGCTCGATCGGGCATCAAGGAGCTTGTTTGAACCTGTTTACCTGGGTGTATCCTATGTCTTTTGCATGAGCAACAAAGCTGTGCTGAACCACAAACGATTCTTTATTTATGTGTCTATGCACTGTTGCTTCCTATCCTTGCACATGCCACTTCCATAACCTCATCTGATTCACATTGATTGTGACTTGTGTCGGCAGCAAGTTCCAGCCACAGCCTTTGTTCGTCTGGATCCGGATTGAACTCCTCTTCCTCCATCTCTTCGTGTGGGTCATGTTCCTGCTCACAAATCTCTGAATACTAGACACTGGTTGCAGATTTGTCGTGTGTCCGTACAAAGCCTGCACAACCAAAAAGCGTCCTGTAAACTTGCAGTTACAGTATATTAATAAGTGTGGGCAAAGGCACACATATCATAAGTGTGGGAAACAAACATGGGCAAATCATGTTGACACGGAGCAACCACACACAACGAAACCTCTTCAAATGTTGATTTCATGAATTTTCTCCTCATCATCAAGAGTTGCATCAAACTTGACCGGCTCGCAATCCGAGAGGTCCTTGCTTGTAGTATCTCTGTCCAGCTCTTCAAGCTCGACCGAACAAATATGAACAAATAAAACCACATAGAGCTTAAATGTAGCCACTGCAAGCCTAAAAAGCTGCTTGTTTGGTTCCATTCCAATTCTTGTGCCAACTGCGCACAAAGCCCCCAGGCCTCTGCAAGTGCATGCTCAGGCAATTTGCCATTGGAAACGCCTGCCTCAGTGAACACCTCTGCATTGTGCGTTGATGTCAACCATGACTCGTCCTGCATCGGCTTCTGCTGTCAACATGAATGTGTGGGGCTGCTCTGCATTCTGCATAAGACCAATGGACGAGCTTTGGTGTCAGCAAGGCAAATCAAATCTTGCAACTGGCAGGCCTCGAATGTTTGCGAGACAACGTCGCTGCACCGCAGGCACTTGTATTTGGGGTCATAACCTCAAGAGCGAGCACGGCAAACTCCAGCCACAAAGACATGTCGATCATTGATCATGTTCGATCCACTAATCTAAGCATCGTGCTCAGTTTGAATTGCAGCCTCGTCCCGATCGTCAGAGATGTATACTTTCGGCAGTCGTGATCAAGGACTTCCTCAGTGCATGATGTAGCAAACAACCAGTATTTCACACCCAACGCAGTATCTAACAACACACCTTGAGTTCCCTCCTGGATCCTCCTGGCACATCTTCCAGTCTAAGCGTCTGCGTACAAAGGCTCTGCTTCTTCATCACCAAGAATTCCCTCATCCAGTTTTACCATGCCCATGCGACAAGCATTGTCCCATTCCCTGAGCAGGGGCAATTAACAAAACAACATCACCGCCGCAACCAAAGGCACACCCTTTGAAGCTAACTTGGAAATTGGAAATTGCTGAGATAATTAGTGTGGAGTCGAGACTGCAGGTTCGCATCCACACAAGCACATTCAAACATAGCGCACGACTTCTCTGTATCAATACCATTTTGTATAGAGGCCTGTTGTGTTTAAACACTCTATAAACATAGCTCACACAAACTTATATCAATATGGTTCTCCTTGGTGTTGAAAGGTCCAATGACTCATGTCATGGCTTCTCGGAGGCAAACACCTATCGGGGACCTGTGCTTTCTGAACAAGAAGTATCGCGGCACACTCAACAGTGAGTGATTGGACTAATCTCTCTGGTTGTAGTTAGTTGTCTCATCCACACGCATCTGACAGCTACCACCAACTTGTTGCAGCATAGCTACAGCAGGTGCCCAGTGTATCTCCTTTGGGCTTCTTCAACAGAACGAAGTGGAATCATGCCATTGCTACACCGCACGCAGGTTCGACGAAGCAAATCTGCTGCGGTCGGCAAAGTCAGCTTTACATTGTCGGCGTCCCCAAATGCTGACAATAATTTACAGTAATTATATACAGTACAAGTTCTACGCTGTAGTACTGTGGCCTACTAAAAAATCTCTGCATGAATCAGCAATGCAAGAAATGGAACCAAGGCAGTCAGCTACAACTCAACTACCAGCCCTCTGCCCTGATCGACTTCCTGTTGCTCATCCGCAGGGTCTTCGTCGATTTGTGCATCCAAGAAACCATTCAGGATGGGCTGAAACAATGCGATCCCAAGCCAAACGTGCAAATCACGATCGCAAATCCGATCTCAGCTAACTTTTGACGGTTTGTTTAGCTCGTCGCATGACAAGGTCAAGTTGGATGGCTGCCACAAAACTGTAGATCACTGGCTCGTGATCATCTACTCTGTCTCGTGTGTCTGTTTGATGGCGACAAAACGCAAAATTCTTCGGAAGGCAGAAACTAGGGAAAACTCCTTAGTTGACAATGACTGCAGAAAAAAACATAACTCGCCATGCAGCCAAGGGGCTTCTGGTCACGTCCTCCAACAAAACGTACCTCGAAGCAACAAAGCAACGCTGAAAACTTGAAGCCAGTATCGCTTCAGAACATCCAGCTATACTTTGCCCTTGCATAAGCTCAAAGCAAAATCTATCCAATCGTGACAGCATTCAAGAAGAACGAGATGCTTCTATCTAGCTCTTTTACACCCTCCGGACACAAGTACCTTTGTGCCCTGAAGCGGACATCCACCTGCCATGTAGAAACACCGTTCCTTCCCCTACAAGTCCAAAAACCCTGTATAACCTGGTCCTTTACCTCCTTGAGTAGTGTTTTTGTATGACCAAACCTCAGTAAAATGAGGTCATTGACTTGTACGGTTCCAACTGCATTGTATGCTTTGCCAAGCTGCATCCCACCAATCCAAAAGTAAGTTGACACGACAACCTGATAACGAACACAAATGCACACACACAAAAGCAATACTAAGTATATAGTGCTCTTTTGATGACATGCTCATTGCTGTAGGAAGTCACCTAATCAAAGTATGTATTTATATATTATACATACACATTATAGTAAATTACATACAAACAGAACCTGCATCGCACCGCTAGCTTAGCTTATCACAACTTTCCTAGTTCATCAAACACCTTGCACGTCACTCAGTTCGCTGATCCAGCAACGACGAGAACCTCATCAAGTAGGCATAGCCATCTCAACATTTTTGGGAAACAGTTTAAGTTATATCACAGTATATATTCGTATACATATCGCTGAAATACCGTCACGAGTTCCGGCAGGGCCGAAATCAGCTCTTTTTTACAGTTGGACACTTTAAAGTGTTCGTGCTTCTATTGAGGACAGAATGCCAACTTGCTTGGCAGTATGCTGAAAGGTGGGGGTGCATTGGATGACCATCCTACTTACTCGCTCTTGCAAGGCCTACACACACAGCCAAAACTCGAACCCTTATCGGTTGGGCTGTTGGGCGAGGGTGCGCATACTTTAATTTTAGCCAGCGCCCATTTACGAAGACGATCCATGGAGGTGTCAAACTATCCGAACGAAAAGGATTGCACCAAGAACGTCACTTACCCCCAAAAACCAGCCAAACTCCTAGTGTTCTCCGAGCCCCAACCAGGTCAATTTGTATCCGAAGGTCCTAGGGGGAACTCTTACGGGTGGGCAGTTGGCCCATATTATTATAAATGTATACTGCTGTATATATTATATAATATTATATATATAGCAATGTATCTATACTATAATAATGCATAAGTACCCTTCAACACCTCAAAATGTTGGGTGTTCAATTCCAACGGCTTGATTACTCCGCGATTTGCAGGCGCTTGCTGCGGAGCGGTGGTCAGGCGAGTTGGGTTCTGGGTTTTCTGCCCCATCACCGCTGTCACCACTGTTGTGGTTTTGGCTCCCCTCGGTCCCCGCGTGTGGTGTTTCTTTTTTGCAGCTGTAGCAGTTTCTTACAATATTCAGCAGGCTTCCCAAAAGTGGGAATCTTGGCAGGATTGTTTGGGAATGTGGGAATAGTGGGTGATCACATAGAACACGGCGCACGGCCCAAGTGCACACGTACAGTAAGGAACACAGGTAGTTTACATGAGAATCAAACTAGTGTGAGTATGGAGCAAAATGACTTTGGCAAGGAAAATTTCAAGGTTTTGATTTGGATTGTGTAGATTTAGTTGTTTTTGTTTTCAAACAAAAAAATTGAACCGTTTTGCAACTTCGTGCTGTGCAGGTATTTGGGACATCATTGATGAATCCGTATGCTTTGAAGCGGGGTTGTCGGCTCATCTTTGAAAACTGAGGCACTAGTTCTTGTTCCTGTCTCAGCCTCAAAAGTTTGGGCAGTTCAAAACACATTGTTATATATTTCGATCCCCCTCTGAATTTAGGCACATTCCTGGGGATACGACTCTAATAGATATATAGAAGGGCGGCCCCTGGGGTCAAACTCTATGGATCTAAGGTCCCCTTGTCCAAATGTCAGAAAAACATGAACAAAAACCATGTTCTCTCGAATTGAGGTTCCAGGATGGCAGGGCACTTGTCCAAAAATGACGACTAGCAAGTCGACTCCTTATAGAATTCACGGCGCCAGGTCTACATCTAATTACATTGGAAAAAAAGAGACTCCGAGGGGTCTTCGCTCAATTTTGTGATGACATCTCCAATGACGTCTTTAGGAAAACCCTGATGAAGTCCTCCGATGAGTTTTGTTCACGGATGGTTTGCTCACCGAAAACGTTTCCAATCGAATCCGAACGGATTGAAGGATCCTCAACATTTAAAGTCTATCCCAGGGATGCAACTTGATAAAATGGCAACCCCGGCAACCCCTGGGTTCCAACTCTATAGAATCCTGTTCTCCATGTTAAAAGGTCTCCATTCTACGGAGTTCCCACAAGTCCCAAGGGGTCCTCCATACATTCGAAGCCCTTCGCCTTTGAAGTGCCAAAAGACTGGCAAAATACATCGCGTGTTTGGCAATGTTCGCGCTTCGCCCCAACAAAAACCTCTATAGAATCAGGGCCCACAGGCCCACAGGTTGACAGGGCCCCCCAGAACTACCCTGAAGTACCACACTGTGCCCAGCCAGGTAAAAGCAGCAACTGCAAAGCCCCCAACATCGAGCTTAGATATAAATTTCATTACATAATTAATTAACCCATTTCAGTATCTAAACCATTGCAATCCGATTTGTTTCCTCTTGAGTTGAGTCCCGGAAGCCTTACAAAACATGGACATCTACATAATCAAATTCCCCACAATTATAGAAAAAAACAACATCTATAAAACCACAACCACCATCTACACACAAACACTTGAACAAATCATCGGCTCCCTATATATATATAGGATAAAACTCCAGGGTTCTCATCAAAACCATACATTTTTTTTGCATTAAAGGATAAAACAATTCTCTATGAATCAACACATCCCCATGTTTATATCCCACTCTGTAAACCATCAAATCAACTTTCTAGGGAATCGGTGTAACTGGGTGGGCCCATGCTATAGAAAACCCGGTGTTCTCTGTACAATGTGCCCCATATGCCTTTTTGGGATACCCAAGACCCCGCATGTTCTAGAGGAAACTTGCCAAGGAAAGGAAGTTTAGTGTGCAAAACTTCCGTGTTACGGACATTCAATGATTCAAGAACTGTTCATACACCACTCATGATACACCACTGTTCATACACCACTTATCATACACCACTCATCATACATCACTCATCATACACCACTGTTCATACACCACTTGTCAGACACCACTTATATATCATACACCACTCATCATACATCACTCATCATACACCACTCATCATACACCACTCATCATACACCACTC